GGTCAGCCAGTGGCTTCAAAATCTCAAGAGGGGCTTCTTTTTTTCACATCTTCACTCAGAACCAAGGTTAAAGTAGACACTTTTCCTTCCTTAACTGTCTTCTAGTTCCTTGCTATTTGGAATAGCAGCATAATCATCACCTGGAAGCTTGTTAAAATGCAAGAATCCCAAGTGCCACCTAGAACTACTCAGAATCTGCATTTTAACAAAATCCCCCAGGTGGTTTTTATCTATGTTTTAAATCTTTCAACTGGGTGTGGTGGCTCACGCGCGTAATCCCAGCACTTTGGGAGGCAGGAGGATTGCTTGAGTTCGGGAGTTCAAGACCAGCCTGGGCAACATGGTGAGATGCCCATCTCTACGAAAAATAAAATTAGCTGGGCATGGTGATGCGTCGCTGTAGTCCCAGCTACTGAGGAGGCTGAGGCAGGCTGAGGCTGAGCCCAGGAGATCAAGGCTACCATGAGCCATGATTGCGCCACTACACTCAAGACTGGGCAACAGAGCAAGACCCTGTTTCAAAAAACAACAAAAATCTTCTGGTTCACTTTCTTTTCTCAGTCTGTGAGCCTCCCTGAGTCCTGGCCTCTAATACGCTTTCTGTTTGCTTGGGTTTAAGAGACTGTCATCTCCCTGCTGTCCTGAAAGCTCTATATCCCAAGCTCTAGGCAAGAAAGACACGAGAAGGCTGGGCACCATGGCTCACGCCTGTAATCCCAGTTCTTTAGGAGACCAAAGCAGGCGGATCACTTGAGGTCAGGAGTTTGATACCAGCCTGGCCAACATGGCGAAACCCCGTCTCCACTAAAAATACAAAAATTAGCTTGGTGTATTGGTGGGTGCCTGTAATCCCATCTACTTGGGAGGCTGAGGCACAAGAATCCCTTGAACCCTGGAAACAGAGGTTGCAATGAGCTGAGATCATGCCACTGCACTCCAGCCGCCTGGGGCACAGAGTGAGACTCTGAAAAAAAAAAAAAAAGACCAGCTTGGTCAACATGGTGAAACTCCGTCTCTACTGAAAATACAAAAACTTAGCTGGGTTTGGTGGCTAATTTTTTTTGTCTCTGTCTCAAAAAAGAAAGACACGAAATGTGTAGCCGTTTCACTTTGTGTTTACCTCACTGGACTGTCTTTGCAGTTTATCATTATTTACTTTCATAAAGGTTCTATCTCTGATTTAGAGGGGGTTTGGTTTTGTTTTACCTTTTTAGGTATTTTATGACTGTAGAATTTTGGCATTTCTGATTTGTCAAAGTACCAGAGAAAAGTTTTGGGTTGTGTGTTGTTTTTTTTTTTTGTGTGTGTGTGTGTGTGTGTGAGAGAGAGAGAGAGAGAGAGTCATTCTTTTACTTTTATTATTTCTTCTTTTAGAAGGTTTTCTTCTTGTCTGTTATGTCCATGTAAGCACAATTCTAACTAGGTTTGGATAAAGTCAAACCACCCCTTGAAGTAGAAGACATGGGCTTTATGGTTGTTATTTCCTGATGTTGTTAAAAGAACCTTTTGTTTTAAGTTTGTCAGCTACTTCCCATGTAGTCAAGGTAGTCAGAAGTCTGCTGACAGCCAAAATGCAATATTAACATGAATACAGTTACTATTGCTCAATACCTACTATTTAATAGGCAGAGTTAACAGGAGTGGTCCTTGGGCTTAACTCCTCATCTGACACGCCCGTGTTTCTTATGGTCTGCCTTTGAAGCTACATGTATATGCTTCATTACCAACACCCCTGGCAGGCTGATGTGCACACGCTTGTGTCCAAAGCTGTAAAGCCTGTAGGTACCAAGGAGCACTGTGTCCCATCTTATATTGTACTGTACAGAAATGAGGGGCATTATCTTCCCGTGTTCTGTCACACTGTTACCTGACTACAAAAATAGTTCTGCTTGTGTTTCCAATGGCCTCAGAGTTCCTTGAGAAAACTTGTCTTTCAATTTTTCCTTGTAAACCCTCTTTCTACAGATAAAGTCTTTCAGAAGTCTGCAAAGTCATATTAGGGACCAATTTCTCCAACTTACACTTTGCTACTCCTTGCTTTCCCCAAGATCCAGTTTTCTGTTCTTCACCAGAAACCCTTACGCAAATTAACTTATGCATCCCAGAGTTAAGCTCAAGTTATTGATGCACTTACTCAATGTGTACACATACACAGACATACACCTATTCATTTATCTTAACCACTTGTATGCATGTGTTTGAGTCTATTTCTTTAAACGAGGTTGGGTTATGTAGTGATGACTAGAATATGAGAAAAATATGTGTAATGAAAAAACATATGTAATGCTGTCAAGGGCTTACAGATATTCCATCGAAATAACAATAAATACTGTTTGTCACTATGCTAAATGCATAAATTGTCCCGTTTATTCAGCAATCTCATGTGATAGGTACTGTGATTTTTCTATTCAGAGGAAAGGAAACAGAAAGGGTAACTTGACCAACATCCAACACCTAGTAAGTGGTTGCATTTGTTTCCTATTGCTGCTATAACATGTTATCACAAATTTAGTGGCTTAACACATTTTACAGTTTTGGAGATCAGGAGTCTGGAAGGGGTCGCACTGAGCTGGAACCAGGCAGTTAGTAGGGCTGTGTTCCTTCTGGAAGCTGCATCCATTTCCTTCTCTCTTTTAGCTTCTAGAGGCTGCCCACATTCCTTGGCTTGCCCCCTTCCTCCATCTTCAAAGCCTGCAGCATCGGGTCTGGTCTGTCTTCCAACCTCTCTTCCCTTTTAAAGGACCCTTGTGGTTACATTGACCCACCCTATAATCCTGGATAATCTCCCTATTTTAAGGTCATCTGATTAGCCACCTTAATTCTGTCTGCTACCAAAATTCTTCACCATGTAACCAAACCTGTTCACAGATTCTGGGTATTGGATTCTGATTATCTTTAAGGCCATTATTCTTCTTGCCACAGGGGTGTAACTGGAACTTGTACCCAAATTTGTCTGCTTCTAAAGCAATTTCTTTAGGAAGCTGAAAACCCCTAACACTGAGCTCACTTTTTTCCCTGTGGTTTTTCCCTTATGAATATTATCTCGGTGAGGGTTTGTATAACTTTCATAGCACTGAAAATTCAACTCTCTTTAGAAACTAGAGAGCAAATGATCTCATTTACACATTGCAGACACCCAGTACATTTTAAAATCCCAAGTTTTATTTTAGATTCAGGGGATACATGTGCAGGTTTGTTACCTGGGTTTATGTGTGATGCTGAGATTTGGGATATGAATGATCCCATCACAGATAATGAGCATAGTACCCAAAAGTTAGTTTTTCAACTCTTGCATCCCCTTCCTCCCTCCCCCACAGTAGTACCCAGTTTCTATTGTTGCCTTATGTTCCTGAGTGTCCAGTGTTTCACTCTGTAGAATTAGAAAATTATGTGTAAGAATATGCAATATTTGGTTTTCTGTTCCTGCATTAGTTCACTTAGGATAATGGCCTCCAGCTGCATCCATGTTGCAGCAAAGGACATGATTTCATTATTTTCATGGTTGCATAGTATTCCATGGTATATATGTACCACATTTTCTTTATCCAGTCCACCATTGAGGAGCACCTAGGTTGATTCTGTGTCTTTGCTATTGTGAATAGTGCTGCAGTGAACTTGCAAGTGCATGTGTCTTTTTGGTGTGAAAAATGAGTAGTTTTCTTTTGGGTATATACCCAGTAACAGGATTGCTGGGTCAAGTGATAGTTCTGCCTTAAGTACTTTGAGAAATCTCCAAACTGTTTTCCACAGTGACTGAACTAAGATACATTCCCACTAGCTGTATATACGCATTCCCTCTTCTCTACAGCCTCACCAGCATCTGTTGTTTTTTAACTTTTTAATAATAGCCATTCTGACTGATGTGATATGGTCTCTCTTGATTTCAATTTGCATTTATCTACTAATTCGTGATGTGGAGCATTTTTAAATATGTTTGTTGGCCGCTTGTATGTCTTCTTGTGAGAAATGTCTCTTCATGTCTGTTGTCCGTTTTTTAGTGTGGTTGTTGTTTGCTTGTTGAGTTGTTTAAGTTCCTTATAGATTCCGGATATGAGACTTTTCTCAGATGTGTAGTTTGCAAATATTTTCTCTCATTCTGTAGGTTGTATGTTTACTCTGTTGATAGTTTCTTTTGCTCTACAAAAGCTTTTTAGTTTAATTAGGTCCCATTTGTCAATTTTTTGTTGTTGCTGTTGTTGTTGCAGTTGCTTTTGAGGACTTAGTCATAAATTATTTCCCAAGACCAATGTCCAGAATAGTGTTTCCCAGGTTTTCTTCTAGGATTCTTACAGTTTGAGGTCTTACATTGAAATCTTTAATCCATCTCGAGTTAATTTTTGTATGTGGTAACAAATAGGGGTTCAGTTTCATTGCTCTGCACATAGCTGCCAACTATCCCAGCACCATTTATCAAATAGGGACTTCTTTCCCCATAAAACAATGTATTTTTAGAGACATGGTCTCACTATGTTACCCAGACTAGAATTGAGCTCCTGGGTTCAAGCAATCCTCCCTCTTCAGCCTCCTGCGTAATTGAGACTACAGGTGCATGCCACCGTGCCCAACTTGATGTATTCTTAAAATTTTAGTTGACAGAAAAAGAGGACCTTGATTAGGATTTAAATGTAGCCACTTCTGACTTTTAGAGATTTGAATACTAAATATTGTCATTGAAAAGTTTGTACTAAGTTACTCTTAATATTTGAACTCCTGGTTTTTTGGCATTGCTTTAGATAGGAATTAATGTTTTAATATAAGTTTCTACAATATTGATAATGATTAACTAATTTATTTCATAGCCCTTCTTTTCAAACTGGTGGTCTTCCAGAAAGGGAAATGGCTGGACAGGAAGGAAGAATTTTCACTCTGCATCCTTTGGTACTGTTTGAACTTTGAGAAATGTGAATGTATGAACTAAAAACAAATAAATAAAATTTTATAAATGTTTAAAGTGGAAAAAATGAAAAGCTCCTAATTTTCTATTATCTCCACTCTTCTAGGATCACCCCTTCTGTGTCATTCTCTGAGGAAAACAAGTTCTTCTCAAGGAGGAAAGTCTGAACTTGTCAAACAGTCCCTTAAGAAGCCAAAGTTACCAGAAGGTCGTTTTGATGCACCAGAGGATTCCCATTTAGAGAAAGAACCACTGGAAAGTAAGCATAATAAAGCACCTCTCAGTTTTTGAAGTATCAAGGAAAGTGTTTTACTTATTGAGAAAATGAGTGAAAGAAAAGAAATATGTTATTGCTTAAATTCTGTAGTAATAAAGCATATTTCAACAATGAGTAAAATCACCATCCATCAATACATGTAGGTTTCTTAATAAAAAAGATTTTCAAGACTCTTACAGGTATTTGATTGTGTTTGTTTTATTATACCTCATTATTCACATAACAAAATATATGTTGAGACCTTCTTTGATACAAATAAATGATGTTATTTGTATCAAAGAAGGTTACGTTATTTGTATCAAAGAAGATCTTATGTGAATAATGAGGTATAATAAATATAACCACTTTATATATATAATGTATATATATTATATATAAAGAACTCCAATGACTCAACAAAAAGTCAAAAATAGCAAAGCACTTGAGTCTCAACTTACATGTTTTGCTATATGAATAATGAGGTATGATAAATAACAAATATATAATATGTGTATATTACATGTATGTCTGTAGAACTCCAGTAATCTACAAAAAATAAAAATAAAAAATAGCAAAGTACTTGAGTAGACATTTCTCCAGAGAAGGTATAGAAATGTACAAATGGCCAACAAACACATGAAAAGATGCTCAACATCAGCATCATTATCATTAGGGAAATGCAAATCAAAACTATGAGATACTACTTCATACCCACCAGGATGGTTATAATAGAAAAAAATGGAAAATAACAAGTGTTGGGAAGGATGTGGAGAAATTGAAACCCTCACGCATTTCTGGTGGGGATGTAAAACGTTGCAGCCGCTGTGGAAAACAGTATGGCCATTCCTCAAAAAATCGAACATAGAACTACCGTTTGACCCAGCAATTCTGCTCTTAGGTGTGTATCTAAAGGAATTGAAAGCAGGGACTTGAACAGATATCTCTGTAACTTTGTTCATAGTATTATTAACAGTAGCCAAAAGGTGGAAACAACCCAGTGTTCATGAACAAATGAATGGTTAAACAAAAGGTAGCATATACATACGGTGGAAAACTACTCAGTCATAAAAAGCAATTACATTGTAATATATGCTACAACATGGATGGACCTTGAAAAAATTATGTTTAGTGAAATAAGCTGGACCCAGAAGAGCAAATATATGATTCCACTTATATAAGGTACCTAGAATAGGCAAATTCATAGAGCCGGAAAGTAGAATAGAGGTGATCAGGGACTCCAGGGACTAAGAGGGAAGTCATTGTTTAGTGGGTACAGAGTTCATTGTGGGGATGATGAAAACATTTTAGTTATAGATAGTGGTGATGGTTGTACAAAACCCTGTGAATGTATTTTTGTTTTTGTTTTTGTTTTTGAGATAGAGTCTTGCTCTTTCACCTAGGCTGGAGTGCAGTGGCACAATCTCAACTCACTGCAACCTCCACCTCCCAGGTTCATGTAATACTCCTGTCTCAGCCTCCCGAGTAGCTGGGATTACAGGCACGCCACTACAGTGGCTCATTGTTGTGTTTTTAGTAGAGATGGGATTTCACCATGTTGGCCAGGCTGGTCTTGAACTCCTGACCTCAAGTGACCAACCCATCTCGGCCTCCCAAAGTGCTGGGATTACAGGCATGAGCCACTGCGCCTGGCAGTGAATGTATTTAATACTACCAAATTGTACACTTACAAATGGTTAAATGAGAAATATTATGTTATATTTATTTTACCACAATAAAAAAATAGAAAGCAAAAACCAGCACATTTCAAAAGCTAATCATCTATTTGACACAATGGTAGGCATTCAACTAAGTCTTGTATCACTCAAGTTCATGTTGAACCTATCATCCCTTAGAAACTTCTGACAAACATCACCAAATACAGCAGGTGCTCTTCAATCCTTGTTTTATTTGAACAATCCACAACCTTTGACAGTGTTAACTATTGCTTCTGGAAATCTCCTGCCTTGATTTCCATTATGTTTTCCTTAGTTTCATTTTTTTGTGTTTGTATGTGTGTGTGTGTTGTTTTGTTTTGTTTTGTTTTGTTTGTTTTGTTGAGACAGGGTCTTGCTCTGTTGCCCAGGCTAAAGTGCAGTGGCATGAACACATGGCTCACTGCAGCCTTAACTTTCCCAGCTCAAACTATCCTCCTGCCTCAGTCTCCTGAGTAACTGAGACCACAGGCGCATACCACCATGCTCACCTAATTAAAAAAATTTTTTTTTGTAGAGATGAGGTCTTGCCATGTTACCCAGGCTGGCCTCAACTCTTGGGCTCAAGCAGTCCCTCTGCCTCGGCCTCCCAAAGTGCTGGGATTACAAGCGTGAGCCACCATTCCTGGCATGCTTTCTTTAGTTTCTCACCCTATTTCTTCATTAATCTCTTCCTGGGCTCCTTTTTGAGTTCTTCTGCCTCTCCCCAACACCTAGATGTGGGTATTTGCCGGGCCTCTGTTCTTAGCCCCCTAAGCATTCCTAGGGAGATTTCATATTTCCCTAAAATGATTTGATTGATTGAGGCAGAGTCTCACTGTGTCACGCAGGCTGAAGTGCAGTGGCACTGTCACAGCTCACTGCACCCTCAACCTCCTGGGCTTCGCTACTCAGCCTCTCCTGTAACTGGGGCTACAGGCATGAACCTGGCTAATTTTTCTATTTTTTTTTTTTTTTTTTTAAGAGACAGTCTCACTACGTTGCCCAGGCTGGTCTTGAACTCCGGGGCTCAAACGATCTTCCCACCTCAGCCTCCCAAAGTGCTGAGATTACAGGCATGAGCTACCATGCCCGGCTTAAAATGATTTTAAGTATCACCTGTGTGTTGGTGATTCATACATTTTTACCTCCAATCACACCTCTTTCCTGAGCATCACTCTCCTGTCTCCATTTGCCTCCTGAATATCTTTCTTTGGATATTCCAGAAGTCTCAAAATTAATATTTCTAAAACTAAAGTCATCCTGTACCCATTGTTCCAACTCACCTTCAGCCCTCCCACACACCGGGCCTCATATCCTCCTCTTCCTTCTGGATTCTAGTCCACCCCATCTACCAAGTCACCCAAGCCCGAAATCTGGGGATAATCTTTCACTCCTGCCTCTTCCTGTCTCCTGTGACTGATCACTAACCAAGACCTGTTGCTTCTACCCTTTTAACATCACTCAAATTTATTCCCTCTTACTCTTCCTACCAGTAAGGCCCAAATTCAAGCTGTCTCTAGCTCCGCTGGTCTCCTAACAAGCCTCTCTGCTTCCTTCTTTCCTTCCTTCTAGTCTTGTCTCCCTGCCTCTAGTACGTACTTTATTCTAAGAAAACTATGTAGGTTGTCTCTTTGAAAAGAGTAGATTTCATTATTAAAACCATAAAGGAAAATGTTTGTAGCTGGGCATCCTGCTTGATATAAAGATGAATAAGAAAGGAAGATGAGATAATGTAAATAACAATGAACAGGACATCATGTGGTAACTAGCATGAGAGATACACAAAAAGATCAGAGAAAAGTCGACAAAAAAGATAACTTTTGAGCTGGGGTCTAAGGAAAAATAATTTTTTGTCTTTTTGAGTTGGAGTCTCGCTCTGTCACCCAGGCTGGAGGACAATGGTGCGATCTGAGCTCACTGCAACCTCCACCTCCCGGATTCAAGCGATTCTCCTGCCTCAGCCTCCTAAGTAGCTGGGACTACAGGCTCCTGCCACCACGCCTGGCTAATTTGTGTATTTTTAGTAGAGAAGGGGTTTCACCATGTTGGTCAGGCTGGTCTTGAACTCCTGACCTCAGGTGATCCACCTGCCTTGGCCTCCCAAAGTGCTGGGGTTACAGGTGTAAGCCACCATGCCAAGCTGGAAAAGTAAAATTTTTATAAGTAGATAAGGTGTGGTGAGGAGACGTTTCAAAATAACTGGAGAAAGCTATGGTCAAAGAGAAAGAGGCTGCAGAACATTAACACTTATAAGACACAGCTAATGGGCTTCTTTGGCTTCGACATAAATTATATGTATATTCGATTAATACAGGGGTATCCAATCTTTTGGCTTCTTTGGGCCACATTGGAAGAAGAATTGTCTTAGGCCACACATAAAATGCACTAACAATAGCTGATGAGCTAAACAAACAAAAAAAATTAAAAATAAATAAAAAATAATAAAATTTTTTAAAAGCACACAAAACAACTCAACGTTTTAAGAAAATTTACGAATTTGTGTTGGGCCACATTCAAAGCCATCCTGGGCCACATGCAACCCATGGACCGTGGGTTGGACAGGCTTGGATTAATTGAATATAAAGCTAGACACGCAGGTTCGGCTCAAATCTGGGAGGGCCCGAACTCCCAGGTTACAGTGTAAGGGCTTTATGCAGTGAGCAGTGAGGAAATGTATTTGGATAGAGGTTGTTTTAATTAGCTTTATTAAATATAGTCTGCATATAATAAAGTTCACCCATGTTAAATATACAGTTGAGTGAGGGGTTTTTTTGTTTTTATTGTTGTTTTTGTTTTTGTTTTTGTTTTTGAGATGGGGGAGTCTTGCTATGTTACCCAGGCTGGAGTGCAGTGGTGTGATCTCGGCCCCCTGCAACCTCTGCCTCCCGGGTTCCAGCGAGTCTCCTGCCTCAGCCTCCTGAGTAGCTGGGATTACAGGCACCTGCCACCACGCCCGCTTAAGTTTTGTATTTTTAGTAGAGATGGGGTTTCACCATCTTAGCCAGGCTGGTCTCAAACTCCTGACCTTGTGATCCGCCCGCCTCGGCCTCCCAAAGTGCTAGGATTACAGGCGTGAGCCACCGCACCCGGCTAGTGAGTTTTAACAAATATTTACAGCCATGGAAACCACACAAAGTGTAAAATAGTTCTGTCCCCTAAAGAGGCACATGGCAGTTCATCCTCTCCCCACCTCCTCCCAGCAACCATTGATCTGTTCTCTATCACTGTAGTTTTGCTTTTTCTAGGATTTTATATAAATGAAACTCTACAATATGTAGTCTTTAGTGTCTAGTTCCTTTCACTTAGTATAATGTGGAAGAGGGTTTCTGTTGCATTAGTTCTAAAATGGGACACTGAGAGCAGGAACCAGGGTGGTAATGGTGAGAACAAAAAGTTTCAGAAAACGGTAGGCTATTATAAGGGCAAAAATTAGGTTAAACAAATGTGAGGAAGAAGAGACATGGAAAGATACAAAGGTATGGTCAGAAAGAAGAGTGCTCAAAAGAGTGTGGGATCTGGAAAAGGAACACACTCAAAAAATAAAGTCCAGTGGACAGCAGAAGTAGATGTGAAAGTCATCAGGAAAGAGATGGGTGACCTCTGTGGCCTCGATGTGTGATGATTTACTAATGTGGATGTTGATATTAGGGATGATGGGGAGAGGGAGATGAAACTATGAACCAGATATTGATCCCATCTGAGAAGACAGAAGAATCTTTGAGTTTATTATAAGACTGGAGAAAAGCACTGGACAAGTAAATGGTATAGAATTCCAAAAAGGGAAGGCTGTAGAGGTGTGGCGTTAGAATGAGAGGCTGGAAATAGCAGTGAGGAGCAGGGACATCTTGACCTGTTCTTTCTTCCCCAGTGCTGTGGACTGAATTATGTTCCCCTGAATTCATCTGTTGGAGCTCTAACCCCTCAGGTGATGGCATTTGGAGATAGGGCCTTTGGGAGATAATTAGGTTTAGATCATGAGAGTAGGGTAACTCTTTAAGGGATGGAAATGTTTTACACTTTGTGCTATTTACATGACTGTAAACATTTGTTAAAACTCATTGAACTGTGTACTTAAAATGGGTGAATTTTATTATAAGCAGACAATACTTTAATAAAGCTGGTGGGAATCTCCTCATGGTGGGAATAGTGCCCTTATAAGAAGAGACACCAGAGAGCTTGCTGTCTGTCTTTCTCTGCCACGTGAGGACACAGCAAGAAGTGACCATCTGTAAGCCAGGAAGAAAGCCCTCATGAGAACCAACCATGCTAGCACCCTGACTTCAGCCTACCAGCCTCCAGAGCTGTGAGAAAATAAGTTTCTGTTGTTTACTCCACCTAGTCTATGGTATTTTGTTATGGCAGCTCAAGCTAAGACATCCAGTGAGCCACAGAGATATGTGAGAAAGAAGAACTTCCATTAGAGAGGCCTTCAGGGGAATTCATAGAGTAGGAAAAAGCCAACTTGCATTGCAGTAAAGCATGGACTTCTTTTGAAAACAGAATGATGATGGGTATAGGGGACAGTTTATTCACAATATAACAAGAATAAAAGAATGAATATTTGAAAAATTTTCAGGGTAAATTCTGTATCCTTTTTCTTTTGCCTAGAGAGGGGCTTTATGATTTTGGTGAAGCTCCTTTAGTTTTCTAAAGAGATACAGTTTGGGTAATCATTCTCCTGCAGTTCCCCCGTGCTATGCAGGATAAAATAAAAGCCGTATACCTTTTCTTCTAGTAATCTATCTTTTGTCAGTTGATTTTTGGCAAACCTTCAGGGGGCAAGGGGGAAGTTTTTCCTTGGTCCCTACACCTTCTCCCAGAGGCCAAGCAATGTGCTTCCTCAGTGGAACAGGTTTAAACATCTATAAGTAGCTACGGTGACAACCTCAGCAGAGAATACCCACCTTGAGAGAATGTGACACCCAGGCCCCCAAAAGTCTAGTTGCCTTTTGGTCTGTGTCTCAGGAGTATAACTGACTTCTCTAGGGATTGAATGTAAGTGAGACCTAAGTAACCATGGGGTTTGGATAAAGCAGATCTGGGTTTGAACTGGAGCTCTCAGAGGCTTCTACTCTCTGGGTTTCAGTTTCCTCCTAACACCTGCCTTAGAATGCCGTTATGAAAAGAAACTGAGATGATAGGCACTTTGCACTTTTCCTTTCAAGCCTTGCCAGTTTGTTATTCTTGTATGTACGTGTTTGCCTTTTATTGTTGTTGTTGTTGTTTTGCCTACATCAGTACTCTGTGAGCCCTATGAGGGAAGGGGCCTTCTATTGCATGGTCACTACTGTATCCTCACCCTGCCTTTACCTAGCATAGGGCCTGGCAGAGTAATAGTGGAATAAATGAATGAAACTGTCTGCCCACAGGGTTGCCATGAGGATAAGAATAAATCTTTTCATTCATTCATATGATACGTGTTAAGTATCCTCTGTAAGCCAAACACTGAAACAGCAATGGATAAAACACACAAAAAAAATTATACGTAATGAGGCTTAACATTTTAGTGGGAGAGACAGACAATAATCAAAGTACATTTTAAAAATATATGAAATTAGTGATAATTGCTGAAGATAATGTAAATCTGGGAAGGAATGGGATGTGTTGGGAGGGTGGCCACAATAAATAAATAAATAGATACAGTTTAAGAATTAGGGGCCAGGCGGCTGGGCACAGTGGCTCACACCTGTAACCCCAGCACTTGGGGAGGCTGAGGTGGGTGGATCACCTGAGGTCAGGAGTTCAAAACCAGCCTGGCCAACAAAGTAAAACCCCCGTCTCTACTAAACAAAAAATTAGCTGGTCATGGTGGTGCACACCTGTAATCTCACCTACTCGAGAGGCTGAGGCAGGAGAATCACTTGAACCCTGGAGGTGGAGGTTGCGGTGAGCCGAGATTGTGCCATTGCACTCCAGCCTGGGCAATAAGAGTGAAACTCCATTTCTCTCTCTCACACACACACACACACACACACACACAGAGAGAGAGAGAATTAGGGGTTAGGTGTGGTGGTTCACACCTGTAATCCCAGCACTTTGGGAGGCCGAGGTGGGTGGATCATTTGGGGTCAGGAGTTTGAGACCAACCTGGCCAACATAGTAAAACGCCATCTCTACTAAAAGTACAATTATTAGCCAGGCATAGGGGTGCGCACCTATAGTCCTAGCTACTCAGGAGGCTGAGGAAGGAGAATTGCTTGAACCCAGGAGGCAGAGACTGCAGTGAGCTGAGATCACACCACTCCACTACTCCAGCTGGACAAGAGAGCTAGACTCCATCTCAAAAAAACAAAACAAAACAAAGAATTAGGGCTCTAATAGTTGGTTCCTCTCCTGTTTTTTCCATATACAGAACAGTACAGTGTATGGGCTGAGAGCAAGACTGCAGCCAGGATGTCTGAATTCAAACTCAGTTTTATCACGTAGAAGCTATGTGATATGGAGCAACTTTCCTAACCCTTTGTGGCTCATTTTCTTCGTCTATAAAGTTGGAACAATAATTGTTCTTGTCCCATAGGATTGTTAGGAAGATTAAATGGATTAGCATACATAAAGTGCTGAGAATTGAGCCTGGCTTGTGACAGGGATTCCTACTATGAACACATAGTATTAAGAATAATAATTACTATTACTGATTATAAATTACAGTACCAGCCAACCAGTTGCTGAAGCCAAAACCCTATGATGAGGAACAGTAATTCTCTAGCTAAGATTAATTGACATTCCTATGTACCTGGCACCACGCTAAACCCTTTACATGCATTACCTTGTTTAATTATCAACACAGTGAGGGAAGTATGATTGTTCTCCCCATTTTACTGGTCAGAAAACTGTGGCATTAAGTCAAAGTGATTCCTTCAAAGTAGTCTTATTTCAAGACCTTTCAAGTCTTATGAATTTGTACTCTGTATTCTCTTCTCAAACTCAGGAAAAAGAATCACATTTACAGTTCATTTAAAGACTGCATGGTAACCAGGTTACTAAGATCTAGCCTATCATGCAACCCTGTCTTTAAAATTGACCATAGTCAGGCTCGGTGGCTCACGCCTGTAATCCCAGCACTTTGGGAGCCCGAGGCGGGCGGAACACTTGAGGTCAGGAGTTTGAGACCAGCCTGGCCAACATGGTGAAACCCCGTCTCTACTAAAAATACAAAAATTAGCTGGGCATGGTGGCATGTGTGTGTAATCCCAGCTACTCAGGAACCTAAGGCAGAAAAATCACTTGAACCCAGAAGGCAGAGGTTGCAGTGAGCCCAGATCATGCCACTGCAATCCAGCCTGGGCAACAGAGGGAGACTCTGTCTCAAAAAAATAAAAAAATAAA